AAGACGGCGTTCAGTGACTGCACCTCCAAGATCGGCCGTCGGGACTGCCTGACCCAGGCCTGCTCGGCCCTCACAGGGTGAGTGGGGCCCTCCCCTGCGGCCGGGCTCCTGGGCGGCCCTCCCTCACGCCACTGTCTCCACAGCAACGGAGTGCGCGAGGGCATCGAGTGGATGGTGAAGTGCGTCGTGCGGAACGTGCGCCGGCCGCCGAGACACCGGGACATCACATAGGCGCAGCCCGCGCCCAGCAGTGGGGCTCCTGCGGCTTCCAGCCACTGCTCTGGGGTGGGATTGGCTTCGCCTTGTTTCTTAAACTTTTCTCTGCACCCAGAGGCTTCTGCAGAACGCTGGGGGCAGCGGGCCTCGGGGAGCGGCCTCTCCGCCTGGGGCGGGGCCTGAGGGGGACCCGAGGGAAAGTGGGCTTTTCCGGAGCTGGGGAGCATGGAGGCGGCTGGTGGGGCTGTGGCTGTGCTCTGATCCTGGAGTGGGCTGGGAGCTGGTGTCACTTTGAGAGAGACCTGGCTTCTGATGCAGCCTCAGGATGGGGCAAGAGGAGGTCTTCCTGGGAGGCCATGTGTCACCACAGTTTGTCCCCAGCTGGGAGGTCATGCTGGCAGTGGGAGTCTCCTTAAGCATGCCTACCACCTACCTGAGACAGCCACGGCTGCCAGTTTGGGTGCACCAGTGGGGGTTGTGACCTAGGCATGGGGGTGTTGGGAAGACTGGCCGAGTCCCCGTCCAGGCCTGTGCCCATGTGCAGTGTCCCTCCACGCAAGGCTGGTCCTTGGGACCTGCCCCAAATGGCCCGGGCTGGAGTTGGCCACACCCATTAGGCCTGGCCGTGGGTGAGCCTGTGCAAAAGGAGGCTGGGCCGTGTGGCTCCTGTCCGTTGTCCCTCCAGGTGCCCGAGGCTGGGTTGTGGACGACTGGTGGTACAGTGACCACAGCACAAGGGGCTCCCAGGCTGGCCCATGACAGTCCAGACACTGCCTTCCCGCATCGGTGGGAATGGCCTGGCCACAGCCAAAGACCTGGTGGCTTGGTGTCCTCGAGTCAGGTTCCTCCAGATTGCCCTCCCTCGCCAGTGGGGGCCTGAGTGGAGTTGCTGGGAAAAGGGATGAGTCCGGTAGGGGTGGGACCCAGTTGCAGGTGAGGGGACTCATGGGGAGTCCTGGGCTGGGAGGTCCCACCCCTCCCTCAGGGCCAGGCAGGGGTCCCCTGGGCCTGTGGGGAGGGGAGGGCAGCCAGGGCTGGGTGTCCCATTCCTCTCCCCTCTTGCTGGAACAGTCTGCCCCACAGGGAAGAGCCACTTCCCTGAATGCACGCTGGCCTCAGGGGAGGTGTTTGGCTGGTCCTCCTGGGAAGGTCCCTGCCGGTGGGGCATGCGTGGAACTCGAGGGGAGGATGGGCCAGTCTCATGGGTCCTGTTCCACAGCAGCAGAGCCCTAGCCTTGATGTGATCCCACCTGCACCCTTGGCACGGCCCCTGTTGTGCCACTCCCAGGCCGGTCCTGGTCCACCCTCTAGACTGCCCTAACCACCAAGAGCTCGACTGGGGGGACTCACAGAGTGAGCCTCGGGGTTCCTGGCTGTGCCCCACAGTTGGAAGGGGCACACCTGCCACCCAGTGGCCACCTCCCACAATCCTCCCCCCATCGAGGGTCTGTTCCCGTGCGTGCATGGGGGTAACCTGAGGACTCGGGAAGCACTCGCGCCACCCAGATGTTTCCTGGGCAGGTGTCCCCACCAGGCTCCGAGCAGACACCTCGTTCAGCTGTACACGAGTTTTACAAAACGGCTTTATAAAAAATAAACTTCGCCAGCGTGACGGGAGCCAGATCAGTAGCCTTTGGTGCGGCGGGGGGGCCGGTTCACAGAATAAATAAGGGAGGCGGTCGGTCAGGGGACCGTGAAGAAGCGCGTCCGGACAGTGCGTTCCAAGCCGGGCAGCCTGGCCACGTGCAGCGCGCGCAGAAGCCCCGCCGCCAGCGTCCCAGGCCGCGCTTCGCGGAGCTCCGTGAGCTGCTGCCACAACTTCTGCTGCAAGACTGCGCGGCCCTCCCTCGGCGACGCCGGACTCCAGGCCCCCGGGCCCGCAAGGGCCTCCTGCAACCGCAGGAGCTTCCTCAAGGCGATGTCCTGGAAAGCCACGAAGTCCACTAGGGCGCGCTCGCACTCCTCGGGTCCTGCAGGGGCAGGGTGAGGTGGGAGCTCAGCGCTCCGGCGCAGACACAGGGTCCCCCTCCTCCATAGCCCTGGGGAGACCATGGAACAAAGAGCTCTCTGGCCCATACCTGGGGAGTGGCCTGCCAGGACTGCGCTGTCCCCAGGGGAAGATGAACACTATGGGGATCTGCCACTTGGCTATTTAAACTCTCTGGGCCTCAGCTTCCCAATACCGGTCGGGGTAGGGGGATAGCATCTCCTGCCAGCGCGGAAGCCCCCAGCACAGTGCACTTGCTGGTGCTGCTCCGCGCTCCACACAGCTTCCGGAGGCCCTTCCCAAGCGCCGCTAGGTGCCTCATGGCCCCAGGGCTGGACAGGCACAAGCGGACCCTGCCGACCCCATCCCCTCACCTGGCTCCCCCGGCTCCAGCGTGCTGAGAGGGAAGCCCGAGCAGTTGGTGCACAGGGCGTCGCGGGAGGAGGAGCCTGGGACGTTGAGGGCTAGGCCGAGGGCGGTGCAGTTGCGGTGGGGCTGGCACTGCTCTGAGCTGGAGCTGTTGGCTGAGAAGGTGCCCGGGGGACACGGCTGGCACTGCGTGTTCTGGCTGGGGGTGCCTGTGGAACGATGGGGAAGACAGGGTCAAGAGGAGCTGGGGTGTCCTCACTGGTGGCCGGAGTCTCCGCCCGGCTCTGCCTAACGGGCGCCCCGCACCCACCGGGGATGACCATGCCCGCGCCCGGTGGGCAGGGCGCGTGCTCCAGGCAGAAGCCAGCGTGCGCGAAGAAGCCCGGGAGGCAGCGGCAGGCGCGGTTGTGGGTGGCGGCGCACGGCCGTGCCTCCTCCTCGTGCTCCCCGCAGATGACGTTGCAGTAGCGGCAGCGCTCCAGGTAGTTCCAGAACTGCGTGTAGTGGCGCTGCGGGCAAGCGCCGCACAGTGTGGGGCCGTCCCGGCGGCACGGCCGCTGCACGAAGGTGCCAGGGGGGCACTGGCGGCACACCAGCCACTCTCCCGTGTCTGCGTCCCGCCAACGATAGGTGGGCGCGCCCGCAGCCGCCCCGCGCACGGCCAGCGCCAGCAGCAAGGCGGGCAGAGCTCTCATGGTCCTCCCTGCAGCGGAGGCAACGGGACTCAGCGGGGACGCCAGGCGACGCGTCACCCTCACGGCCCCATCCACTGGAGTCCCAGAGGGCCGTTCCGCCTACCCTACCTGCAGCCGCCCTCACCCTCCGGTGCCCGCCCTCAGCCTCCTTATATAGGCCGGCCCTGCCCCGCCCCAGGGGAGGGGCTGGCGACATCCAGGGGGCCACGCTCTGACCCAGTTATAGGCAGCGTCACAGTCCCTTCCCAGCACCAGGGGCAGCTCATGACCCAGTGACCGGATCAGTCAGCTGGAAGTGGGGGGTGTTCCAGGCTCCTTTACCCTCTGGTGTCACCGTGTCTTCCTGTTCAGCTGTGGACTGAGGCTGAGCCAAGTTTGGACAAAGCCATCTTGGAACAGTGGGAGGGGGACCCTGAGAGACGCCCCATCCATCCATCCTGGCACCCTCAAACCCCACCACGAAGCCCAGGCCACACAGACAGAGCCCAGTAATGCCAGCAGCTTTATTAGAACGCTGTCACCTGACAGACAGGTCCAGGGCCCAAGAATGTCTGTCCTTCCAGGTCATGGGCTCAGCTTTGAAGTCCCTGAAGCTGACCCACAGGCCAGCAGACTGGGCAGGTGGGAAGCAGCTCCTTCAGCCCCTCGCAGGCGCGCCCAGACCCCGGCTCCCTGATGGGTGGGCTCTCGGCCAAGGGGCGGCTGGGGCTGGGGCTGGGGCTGGCCTGCCCCAGCTGACAGGCAGGTGTCCAGTCTGGGTCTGGGAGGGGGCGGCCTCGGCCTTCACAGACCCTGCAGTGCTCTGAGGGTCCCCACGTTCACTGAGGCTCTGGCCAGAAGACCTGAGTGATGCTCTGCTTCCTGGCAGCGGCAGAGCAGGCAGGGCACGTCCTCCTAGAGGCCTGTGAAGACACGGAGCGCGCCTGATGGGCACCGCTGACCACCCCCCCATCAGCCCACCGTGTGCAATGGCACCAGGCAGCCGTGTCCCTGGGGTCCAGCCACCGACCTGGAGGTGCTGTTGCCAGCAGGCCCGGCAGCAGTGAAAGTCACAGGAGGGACACTGGAAGGGAACCGCTTCCTCTGCCCTGCAGCCGGGGCACACCAGGCCTGCTGTGAGGGGCCGCTGTGAGCATCACAGGACTGCTGCTTGGGCCGGCCCCCGACTTCCCCCCAGGAGACCTACCACACTGCGACTGTGTGTGTCCCAGGGGGACACTGGGGGGCCGCTGTGTCAGGACGGAGGAGATTGTGCTCTGAGTCATCCCTGGCCTCTCTCGCTCCGAGGGGACTGGAGACAACAGTGTGTCCGAGGGGCACCTGGCACACCTCTGCTGGTACCCCTGAGGGCTGAGTGGGGCTCCAGGGATGGCAGGGCGGGTCACTCTACCTGGCCTGGGAGCTCCGGGGATGAGGTCGGGAGGCACGATGGGGCTCCCCTCCTGGGGTCCCAGCGGCTCGTCACTCGCGCCTGGGGCAGGCTGGCCGGTCAGGTCTACACACGTCTGCCGGAAGCGCTGCTTGTGGTGTGGGCGCACGAACATGCTGAACCCTGAGGATGGCGGGGACAGGCATTCAGGCCCCGCCCGCCCGCCTGGCCGGCCCGCCACCCACCCCCAAGCCTCGGGCACTTGCTCTGCAGAAGGGGCAAGTCCTCTGGTCTCGACGTAGTAAGCGCTGCCACTACAGCCACCACCTTCTCGAAGTCATCGTCCTGTTTGTAGGTGGTCAGCGCTGCCAGGAGCTGGCTGCAGCCTGCAGAGCCCAGGGCCCGGCGGGCATCCGCTAGGTAGGCACTCAGGGCAGGCTGGCCCCGCTCCTCTGCTCTAGCAGCTCCAGACCCCTTCCGTGAACAGCTGCCAGGGTCTCCTGGAGGGGAGGTAGCCCGGCTTGGACCATGTCAGTGTCCAGAAGCCCAGAGTCTGGGGGTGCCTCTGTGTCAGCCTCCCTCACTCTGGGGTACAGAACTAGGGCAGCCCCCAGGAGACGTCCCCTCCAGGGCTTTTCAGCTTCTGGCTCTGATCTGAAGCCTCTTCAGGGACTAGGTACCTTGGGGTGGTGGCCTGGAGGCCAGGTGGGGCCCTCCACGGTTCAGATGTTCTCCAGGGTCCAGCTGCCTTGCCGCGCCCTGGGACAGGGTCAGCTTGGAGTCAGGCGGCCTCCTTCCTGAAGAAACACGGAGACACAGAAGTCACCCAGCTGGTCCCCTAGGGAGGAGGCAGGTCTGTTCACGGGGAGACTGGGCCTCACAGCCCCCCTCAGACCACAGCAGAAGGATCTGACTCTCACAACCCCATGGACAGCCACCTGCGGGAGGGGCAGGTGCAAGGACACCCCAGTGGGCACCAAACCCAGAGTAAGGGCAGGGACTCTCGAGCGGGAAAGTCCCCTCCCGGGGGTGGTGGTCTTCCAAAGCCAGGCTCCCCAGCTCTGCAGGTGCAGGGCCCACTCCAGATAGATGGGGGACAAGGCCCCAGGACCCCGGTGGTACGCAACGCCCCAGGGGCAGGACAGCCAAGCCCCCCCATGTGGCGCCAGCCCACGGTGATCCGCCAGCCCTCACACAGGAACAGGGAGGCTGGGCCAAGTGAGGACCCCGCCCGCTGGGCCCCGCCCACAGGGGGGGTGAGTTTGAGGGTCTCGCTGGGTCAAGCCCTGCTCACCACCGGGGTCTAAGGCCGGTTGTGCCCACTGCCCACAGGGAAGGCTGTGCTTGGGCAGGTGACCGCAGCCCTGGCCCGTCAGCTGCAGGCAGAGCTGCTCAAACCGCTCCTTGTGGTGAGGCCTCACGAACTGGTGGAAGCCTGTCGGGAGAGACACTGCAGCCAGCGCCAGCTGGGGCCACCCACCTGCACCTTTTCTACAGAACAGAGACAGCCGCGGACCCTGGCGGCCCACCCCGCGCCCGCGGCACCATTCAGGGCACCTTGGAGCAGCTTGTGCTTCTTGGGGTCCTCGGCAAAAAGGGGGCCGAGGCGGTCCGCCAGGGCCTGGAAGTCGTCGGAGCCCTTGTAGTCCTGCAGCGTCTGGGTGAAGACGGTGAAGCTGGCCTGGCTCAGGGCCTGCTTCACGGCCACCATGAACAGCTTGGCCCTGCCGGCCTGGGTTCCGGCCGCTGGCTCCTCCTGCAGGACACACAGCCAGCCGGCGCCCCATCAGACACCGATCCTCCCCTGTCCCAGGGCGGAGCTGGCTACCAGGCTGGGGTCCCAGCGAAAACAGGGCCTGCAGGGACGATGGCCTGGGGAGCAGCTTCCTGGGCTGGGGACTCTGCTCCTCCAAGCTCCCCACACCCACAGCTCAGTGTGGGGGTCAGCTCACAGCAAGCGTGGCATCTCAGTGCCCCAGGGACTGAAGACACCCTGTGCCCCATTTGACACTTGGGACAAGGAAGCGTGGAATCAGACAGGCTTTCCAGGCCCCGTTCAGCCTGGCCCTAAGGCCCAGGTCCCTGGCGCCCAGCCCACTTCCTGGAAGTGTCAGTCCCCAGGCACTGCCTGGCTTTTCCCAGAAGCAAGGGAGACAGACAGAGGCAGTACGTGGCTTTCCAGAGGTTTCTGGCTCAGGCTGTCACTCAACTGCTTTTAACTGCCATCACCTGAGGCTGGGAATGCAGCCCCTCCCCACATTCGGCTATGTGAGCATCCGCCTCCTGCCAAGAGCCCAGCCAGCACTGCCCAGGGGAGCCAGCCTGGCTGCAGACCCCACCCCAAACTGGCCTCAAGGGCTGGGGCCTGCCTCCCGCCCTGCTGGGCAGGCAGAGCCTTCCATGGAAGGAGCCCACGGGTCTGTGGACCCCATTGTGCCACATGTGAAGTGCTCGCCCAAAAAAGCAAAACAAAATGAAAGGCCCAAGTCCTACCACAGGTTTACAGGACAAAATGCCCAGAGCAGGATGCCATGGGCGGGGGGTCTGCATGCTCTCACAGTGAGAGACGTGGGGCCGTGCAGGCCGGTCCGGGAACCACAGGACAAACACAGACGTCTGGAAGTCGCGGTGGCACCGGGCCACGCTGCGTGAGGGCCACGGGAAGGCCCGGAGGCCCGGTGCTCACAGAGGCCCGGCCATGCCCCCTGGTCGGGCCAGCGGTGGTGGGGGTGGGGGCGGTTAGAATGACAGGCAGGCTTGGCCCGCTCACACCTCGCTCTGCTTGCTCGGGGACACTCAGGGCACCGAGAGCCACACGAGGCCCGCAGCTCCCCCCACACCTACCTGGCTGCTGACCAGTCTGATCTTCCTCCGCCCTCCTCTCTGCTCGTCCCCAGACCTCTTCTCACCCGGGAGGGATGAGGTGGAGCCGCGCTGTGCCTGGGGGTGACACAGCCGTGTCCCCACCCACTCCCAAAGCCCGGTGTGACGCTGAGCCAGGGCCCACAGTGAGGGGAGAAGGGCCACCCCAAGTCCCGCCATCGCCTCCCCAGTGGCTTGCTTGGGGCAAAGCTCGAGAGCAGGTTTGGGCACCTAGTTTTACGGTAACTGAAGGGGCCGGTGGCGAGGGACCAAGAGGCGCCTCTGAGGGCAGCTGGGATCACTCCAGGGCCCCGGGACGGAAGGGGCAGAGGCGATGCCACCAGCAGGAAACGGGGAGCTCTAGGTCAGACCGTAAACTGCAGGCCTCTGGGCAGAAGCCCCAAGGCAGGAGGAGCTGGGTCCTGCCCACAGCGCAGGTTCCCCGGGCCCTGAGTGCACCGGGTCGAGCCGGCTCCCCAAAGAGAACCCACAGGGCGTGTCAGGGAGCGCCAGCTGGTGGGGGGGACACAGCCCTGCCAGGCGTGTGCTGAAATCCCCAACCGCCCGCCCAGCAAGGGGGTTTCCAGGGGTGAGTGCGAGGTGCCTGGGAGTGTCCATCTCTGGGGCCCCTGTACCCGCACCTCTTCCTTCCTGGGCGGGGCCTCATCCTCAGGCCCCCCGGCCAGCTGCTCGCTGTGCTCCAGGGCGGCCAGCAGCCCCACGGGCCTCCGCTGGGCACGGGCGGGTTCCTGCTCATACCCCCCACACAGGCTGCCCTCGACGTCCTCGGTGTCCTGGGTGGCTGGCGGCCCTGTGGGAGCATGAACGTGGAGCCCACCTGGGGGGAGGGCAGGGAGCAGCCAGGTGCCCCCAGCAAGGCAGCCATCAGGCCCAGCGGGCCCCCAGCCTTCTCTAAGCGGCCCCCTGCCTGGCCGCGTCAGCTGGCCACACGCACCTGTGGGTGTCCGCCTCAGGCTGGGGACGTGCACATCCAGACTCTTGGCTTTCCTGATGGAGAAGGGGCCGGGCGGCACGGCAGCAGCTTCTCCCTGGCCCAGGCTCGGGGCAGCCGCCAGCGGGGCCGGCACTGGCATCTGGAGAGTCACACGGTGGTTGGGGGGCGCCGGGCCCCTCCCCAGGGAGGGCTCGAGGCACAGCCAGGTGGGCTCCGGGGACTCACTGTTTTCTGGGCGACACGGAAGAACTGGGCCACGTCTCGGATGATGTGGCCGAAGTGGTCGTACACCTTGACGTGGGGGCGCACCCAGGAAGGCAGGTGGGCTCTGGCATTCGCAAAGGCGAACCTGGCAGGGAGGGGCCGTCAGCCAGGAGCCCCGCCCGCCCCAGCCCACCTCCCGGCAGCGGCCCCATGCGGGCAAGGGGCAGCACCTGTGGTCACAGAGAAAGATGGCCCCGTAGTCATGGCGATGCCGGATGACCCGCCCGATGGCCTGGTTCACAGCCCTGGACGCCTGCTGCCGGTACCAGTCTTGCCCAGAGAGGAACTATTGGGGGGAGGGGCTCAGTCACAGGGGCTCCAAGCCCCTCCTGCCAGCACCCTCAGGCCTGTGGTACCTCACCTGGCCCCCAGCGCTGCTCTGCCCCTTCATCTCATCCAAGAACTGCATCTTGAGGACCACCCGGGGGTCCTTGCGTGGGGGGTACGGGAGGCCCGTGACGACTACCCCTCGGCCGTTCGTGTCTGCGAAGTCCAGCCCCTCACTGGCCTGGGGATGGCATGCCACACGCTTCACCAGGCTGTCCCATGCGAGCCTGTCCTTGCCCAGGGCTCACCCAGGCCCCGCACGCTCGCACGCTCGCAGGTATGGGCAACAGGGGAGAGACCTCCGATGTGGGCCAGGCAGGGGCTGGGGTCCACGCTCCCAAGACCCCGTGCCTTCCTGTGTTCTGGGAATCTCCTCAGCCCGTGAGTGGGGCTCAGAGTCCACGTGGGGCTGGCCTCACCCAGGGGCAGCAGGGCTGCCCTCCTAACACGTGCTGGCTGGACGTGGAGCCGACACAGAACGGCCCATCCTGCCCACGGTGCAGCCCCTTGGGAGGCGCAGACGGGCCTGTGAGTGTGGGACCCAGAGCCTTGGGGGCCTCACCTTCCCCCGACACACAGCCAGGAAGGCCGCCCCACGGGATGCAGGGGAGGCGACGCTCGCGTAGTAAGCACCCATCACCTGGAAGGAGAGGCAGGTCACCGGGGGCCCCGGCCCTGGCGCCCCTCCTCCGTGGGCAGGGCCTCACTCTCTAGACGGAGGACTGTTCCAGCCAGCAGCAGGGACAGCTCCTTCATGGCACAGGTTCCCAGTGACTTGTCCCCAGCACCCAGGGCCTGCTCAGCATTTCCCAGAAAACACAGGGGCCCCGAGGCTGGGGGGTGGAGAGCCCTGCTTTGCTGGCAGCTCCGATTCGAGGGTCTGCTGCCATCATCCCCATGTCCAAACTTTCTAAAAGGCAACACGCCAAGACCAGCCGGACCTCAGCCACGTGCAGCCTGCAGCTGGTAGGGATGGTGGCCAGCTTGGGGCAGCCATGGGGTTAGTGGAGCCCAGCGAGCTCAGACCTCTGAGAAGCCGGCCTTGCTCCTGGGTTCCACAAACAGAGGTTTCAGGGCCTCCAGCTTCCTGGCAAAGTCGCGGGCCTGTGGGAAGAGGCAGGCATGGGGGTGCTTGTCACACCCATCAGGTCTGGCCCTGCCAGACCCATCGCTGTTTGGGGTCCCCTCACCCCCAGGACACACAGGGGAACGCACCCGCCAGAATTCCAGGCTTTTCTCCATGACGGGGTACGAGGGGAAGAAGACCAGAAGCCCGTGGGGGACGACGCGGGCGATGTTGCCTGCAAGGGCAGCGGCCTGGGTCAGCAGGAGGCGCCCCCGGGGAGAGTGAGCAGGGGCTGAGGTAGGGACAGGGCAGGGCGGGCGGACAGGGCTCCTCGGACCCAGGATGGGGCAGCCCAGACGAGGGGCTTCCCCGGGCACTCACCTAGCGCCTTCCCCAAGGAGGACAAGCAGTCATCAGAGAACCTGCGTGAAGCCAAGGAGCTGCTGCCAGGGCCCCGACCCAGCACTCGGCCCACCCCCGCCCCCTCGCCCGAGGCCCCCACCGTTTGTCATAGGCAGAGCTCAGGTGGACTTGGTCAGGGCCTTTGGGGACGATCCCCACCCAGATCTGGTGCTTGTCGATGACGTGTGGGTTTTCCAGGCACACTGGGAAAGGGCTGGAGGCAGAGGGTGGGAGGCAGGGGTGCCTGTAAGGTCCTGAGCCCCCGGGGGCTGGCCTGGGACCCCACCCCCACCCCCCAGGGCAGGCAGGGGCAGCCTTACATCTGCATCTCCAGGGCAAGGGAGGACACGGGGGCCAGCGTCCCGCTGGTGAGGATGAGGGAGCGGACGCCCTGGCGGGCCAGTTCGCGCATGCTGTGCCCAGGGCTGAAGCACCAGTAGCTGAGCACCTTCCCTGGGGGCGAGTGGGGGCGAGGTCAGCGCATGGGAGGCCCCGCCCGCCATCTTCAGATGGCAGAACCAATGGGGCCCGCCTGAGCCCGGAGCCACGAGCCGCACATGAGCTGGGGTCCTCCCTCAGGGGTCTGGGCAGCAGGGAGCAGACACTGGGGTTACCTCCAGAGGCCAGCCGACCCCAACCCCAGATGTCCAGAGATGGACGTGTGCTCAAGGCTTGCTGAGCAGGCAGAGGCCGCCCCAGGGAGGAGCAGGCAATGCTGGGGTTCCAAGAGGGAGCACAAGCCCAGATTCCAGGGGGCAGGGAGCCAGCAGTGATGTCCAGCAAGGTGGCCCCATCACAGGGACTGGCATGCCCTGAACGGCTGGCCGCCTGGGAGCAGACCAGAGTGCACCCCGACCTCTTGCTCCCCGCTGGCTCCGGAAGCTCGGAAATGGAAATGGTACAGGTACTAAAATGACTTTAAATGTGACTCTGAACCTATGTAACTTTACCAACAATTGTCACCCAATAAACTTTAATTGAAAAAAAAGTGACTCTGAATTCAAGACTGGGTCAAAGGTCAGCAGAGGCATTTCCAGAAAAGAAGAGGCTGTTCTCTGTAGCCAGAGAAACCTTTCTCACTTTCGGGATGAGCTCTGCCCTGAGACAGGGAGGCGGGGGAGTGGCAGCCGCCCCCCATTGTTCTGGGCCAGCCTTGGAACAGCAAACACGGTGAAGTCACCATCACCGGGAGCCCCTGGCTCAGGGCGCCGCCCCCGCCCCCAGCTTTTCAGAAAGGCCGGAGAGGAACTCATTTCCTGTGAACACTCAACCCAGGGAGTGGCCATTTCTGAGAATCCACAGGCTCTCAGAGGGACAGGAACTCAGGGGTGACTGCGTCCACTGTCCCCTCGATGTCAGCATGACCTGCCAGCACTAACGTGCGGTCCCACGGGGAGAGCTGCGGACGTGAAGGGGCACGTCGGGCCCTGGCGGAGGCACAGACGGCCTCCCATGATCACAAATGCCCCACGAGTGGTGGCTGTTCTCCCTGACTCTCACACAAGCCACTTCTTGCTCGAAGAGGCCGAGTGACCTTCTGAGGCCACACGCGGGCCTCTCACTGGCAGGGGCCCTGCCCACACTCCCAGCCCTTCTTTCCCTGCCCAGCTCCACAGGGAGGGCGGGCGGGCAGCCGGCAGGAGGGTGTGACTGCCAGCTGGAGGCTGGAGGGGGTGTGCTGCCCGCTGAGGGCTGGGTCCAGGGCACAGGTGAGCACTGTGGGGGAGCAGCCTGACCACAGGGCCGTCGCCCCAGACCTGTCAGGCTGCAAACCCCACTCAAAAGGCCAGGCCCAAGGGGCGGCCAGAATACTTGCCAGGACTGAATCCCACGGGAATACGTGCCTGGGCCAGGACAGGCCAGCCCCACACCAAGGGCCACAGTGCCTGGCACAGGCCGTGTCCTCAGGCGGGTGCAGCAGCCCAGGCCCAGGACGCAGGGCAGCAGGTGAAGCTGAGGAAGGGCGGCCGTGGGGCCAGGCCTGAGCCCAGGGTGCGTATCGGCGCAATACAGCCAGCTCTAGACGCGACCCTGAGGCCTTGGGGGGGCCTCGGCCCGAGCCTGCCCCACATCTGTCTGCCTGGTTGGATGGTGTGAATGCAACAACTGGGGCCCCCCTGTGCACCATCAGGGGGTCTGTGACAACCCTTTTCGGAAATGTCCCCAGTGGTGCAGGAGGCCTGGCTGTGCCCAGCTCAGTGACTCTGGGCAGGTCCTGAGCCATTGGGCCTCCTGCAAGGCCATCTGGCTGACAGCTCCTGAGAACATGAGGACGGGGGTCACCCAAGGAGTGTGCACTCAGGTCCACCTAAGCAGCCGGGAGAGCCGCAGCCGGCTGTGACACCTCACTGGCTGAGCAGGGGTTGTCCCCGCCGGCAGGGGACATACCTTGCCTTCCGGCTGCTTTGCTGCTCCAGGCATCTGACCGCCGAGCTGTCCTCGGGTGACTGCTGTCGGGATGAATGTGCACCTAGGGGGTGGAATGGACTGGTGTCCTGAGGTCCTGCCTGGATGGCCCTCCTGGAAACAGCCTCACCTTGTACAACTGAGACCCCCACCCGGAAGTTGCCACTCCTGGAGGTGGCCCCACCTTGTAGGACTGAGAGACCCCAGGTCCCACCATGGAACCAGGGTCACCCTCGGCAGGGTCCACACTGAACACGATCTGAAAGGCAGAAGAGGGACAAGGTCAGCAAGACACGCCAGAGGCGACGCTCCCGCTAAGTCCCCACCCACAGAAGGCCAGAAGCATGCTCAAGGTGTCGCCATCACCTGCTCCTGCCTTCCAACTAACAGTATCTCTGGCCCAGGACCCCAGGCCAAGGTCAGAGGCTCACAACACCTGTCCCCTTCCCTCAGGGACCCCACCCACATGGGAGAGGCAGCAGCCCTACAGGCCCCCGACTTGGCAGGCCCAGGTGAGCCACCGGCCCTCTGGCCTCCCTCCTGGGGTTGGGGAGCCATGGGAAATGAGCGTGAGCCGACCACACAGAGGCCTGGTCCACCGGACCCCTCTAGAGACAGACAGAGGCAGTGGAGGAAGCCCACACTGCGCGTGGGTCAACACCCAGACAGGTGAAGAACTACCAACAAGAAAGCGACTCGGGAAAAAGTGATTTGGATGGAACCGTGGGCGGCAAGACATACAGAAGACACCAGCAAAGGAACACCAAGTACACTGCGAGCCACATCTGGGGAACAGGTGCAGGGAAACGGCGCCATGGATGCGAGGCCATGAGCACTAAAGCAAGATTTGGGGGAGTGCTGGGGAAACCCTGAGGCACTGTTGGTGGGAAAACGGGAGGACCAGGCACACGCGGGAGCACGGTGCTGCCCAGGGCATGGCCTGCATCCCTGTCCAGCCTGCCACCGCCTGCAGGGACAAAAAGCACCCAAAGGGTCTGCTCTGGGGCAATCCGTGGCCCAGGAGTGGCCCTCACACCTCAAGGGACAAAGGGCAGTTTTAGGCCACGGAGCCTGTTGCCGCTGTCTCCCTCACCAAGCTTCCAAAGCTGCACGACCCCTTTCGCCCCGGGATGGCTGTGTACAGCACTGTGTATGTGGCTCGGGGGCCCCGTCCTGCCTGGTGTACCCAGGGCCTGTGGTCACACTGTGCTCAGCGGCATCTGTGCCCTCCACAGCACCAGTGATCACCAGCATCCTGTCTGGTCTGGTTCAGCAGATGAGCGGGGCTCACACCATCTCAGGGGTCCCCCTTTGTCACGCCTGCACTGTCCTCGGAGGCCAGCCTTGTCCAATCTCCAGCTGAGTCAGCTTTAGACCCTCTGTCTTGCACAAACCATGAGGGGTGTGGGTCTGAAGAGGTGCAGGGCTCTCATGGTGCAGCCCTGAGCTCCTCGTGTGTCCGCCACAGGCTGCCTGTCAGACCCGCCCACCCAGGGCTCCAGGGCCAGGCCAGTGGCACACCCTATGACCCTGTCCAGCCTGCCGAGTGCACCCACATTTGGGGGGCCTGTGCCAGCACCACCAGTGCTCAGGAGCCAGGTGTGGGATGAGCAACTGCCTGTCACACCTCTGCCAGCTGGAGGGGACGCACCAGCATGCAGGTGGGCTGCAGGCAACACCAGGCATGCAGGGAACAGGCATCTGCCAGGGGTGACTCAGAGCAGCTGCCAGAGAAAATTTCAAGCCAATGGCAAGCGATTTAGGTTCCAGCAAGCCCGGAGGGGGAAGAAACCTGCTCCACAAAGGGGGATCCGGGAGGGGAGGAGTGCCCTGACTTCACCAGGAACCAATGGCCACTTAACACAGTGGCTGGCCCTCAGCAGCTGGTCGGGCAGCCACCCGAGGAAAAGCGGGCCCTGGTCCGTCCACCTGAGCTGAGGAAGGGGTCCAGCTGGACACACAGGGCAGCACGCTGGGGGGCAGGAAGTGGCCGTGTCCAGCGGCCCTGAAGCGTGACATCCTTGCTGGCCACCTGGCCGGGGAAAGGTGAGGTCCGCATGTGGCAGAGAGGGGCTCAGTGACCCCTGGCGGCTGTCCCCAGCCCAAAGCAGCTCCCAGAGCCCAGAGTGAGCCTGGCTTGCCCGGGGGGCAGGGGACTTGGGGACCATGCCCGCTAACTGACCACCAGCCCCACGGGCCCTACCTGGGCTCACTGGTGTTGACTAAACACGATCACCCCACATCTAAACCTCTCTGAGGTGGCTGGCCCTGCGGCCAGACATGGGGCTGGGCGGACAGAGCCATCCCCTACCCTGGGTGATGGGCTCACGCTCTGACTTTCCTCTGAAGCTGTTTCAGGAAAACAACTTAGAAAAGGCCGAGGCCCCCACCAGGCCGTCGCCCCTCCCGGCCACCCACCCCCGTGCAGGTCCTGGCCCCGAGGTCTGCAGTGTGCGTGCAGGGCAGGGAGACAAGCCTGGGACTGTTGATCTGAAGCACGTGGCGTGGGTGCCTTGGCCCTGCCCCAAGTCTAGGCTCAAAGACAACCGCTGGAGGAGGCCCCACTTCCAGCAGGAACAAAGCCATGCTGTCCTTGGCATAGCCCGTCCTACCTGGATGATGTCCGAGAGCTTCTGCAGCCCCACCGTGCTGGTGAGCAGCCCTGCACCTGTGGGAGCAGAGGGCACTGACCACCCCATACCGTCGGCAGCACAGGAGCCAGGCGCGGGGTCTGTGACACAGCCAGCTGGTACGTGCCAAGCTGCACCTCACCCACGCGGCCCTGGGCACACGCCTCGGGGCCAGCCTGCTCTTTCCTGACCATCCCCAGGGAGCAGTGGGTGAGGCTGGGGCTGCCCGGGAGTAGAGTCCGGCGAGGCCCAAGCTCAGTGGCCCTCCTGGGCCTTCCTGCTCACCCCTAAGAGGCTGACCGGGGACCGTGCTTTACACAGCACAGGGTCAAGTGGCACCAGTGTGTCCACGTCTCGGTCAGAAGGGGACTCAGTGCAGGCAGCAGGCTGCGGCCTGGGTCAAGGCCACTAGCAGGAAGTTTCAGGGGCGCAAGGCGTGGGGACTCACGTCCTGCTAGGTGCTGGATGACCTGCTCCAGGGAGTCCAGGATGCAGCTCTTGGTCTGAAACGTGATCTGGGCCTCGGCAAACAGCTTGAAGATGAAGCTGCCGGGAGAGAGGAGGCTCAGGCCCCACGGGGGACAAGGCTGGGCTGCGGAGCCCCGTGGCCAACGGCTTTCCAAGTGCTTTTCACTCAGAAACAAGCTCTGTGCCCTCCAGGAGAGGCACCTGGAGATGGCAGGCCTCTGCCCTCAGGAGCCCCCTGGCTCGGGCCCCGGTGGGGAGGGGGTGCAACAGGTGGTCCCCAGGGCTTTCCTGGGCGGTGGTTCTAGACAGGGCCCCAAAGGGCAGCACTGGGCAGAGACAGGAGGGAGGCACCAGGTCTGGGTGCCGCGGGGAGGGGAGAGGCAGGGCAGGCCGAGGAGCTTGGTTAACCTGGAGCCCTGGGGGCCCTGCAAGGGTTTGCGCACAGAGAAGCAAACAGGCAGCCCAGCGCGCCAGAACATTCCAGCACATTCTGACCCTCAACAACTGGGCCTGGGTCCCAGCACAGCCGTCAGCTCTGCAAGAGGAAAGCTACAACCAACCCCAGGCCACAAGCTGGCCTCTGACTGCAGGAAACAAACCCCGTTGCCCCAGACTGCTGAGACGAGTCGAGGCCTGTGGCCCATCTAGAACATTCTGGGCCCACAGGAGGCCTGAAGAGGCGGCTGGTGTGGCCACACTTCCGTCCTAACGAGGGTGCGCTTGGAAGCAGCTGTCCCTCTCGCTCTAAGAGGCGCCGGCACGGCGGCCGAGATCCAGAGGCGGGGTTGCATGGGCCTTGCATGTGAGGCTTACGTGTACTCTCAGCACGGCCAGCAGCCCCCCAGGCGTCCAAAACAAAAACAGGCCCCGCTGGTGTGTGCAGCCAGTGACACTCGCTGGGCAGCCCAGGAGGGATGAACGCTGCAGGACAGTCCCTGCAACCCAGCCCACCGTCTCCAGCTCCAGGCGGGGCCTGGGGCCAAAGATCCACCCCCAGCCCCTCACCTCCCCGGCTTGGTGACACCTTTGTCGTCTCTGGGCAGCTCGACAGCATCAATGGCCTCCTCCAGGCGAAGCAGGATCACTGTGGGCAAGGGGTCATCAGGGACACGCCCCAGCCACAGCTGGCGGGGGATGGGGGGTGGTGGGGGGCGCAGCACTCACTCTTCAGCTTCGCGATGTCTTCTAGTTCCATGTTCAGCCCTGGGTGAGAGAAAGGCAGCAAACATACAAGTCTGCGCTGTCCCCACTGGACCAGCCGTGTCCTACAGAAACGGGCCGGTGTGGAGGGAGGGACAGGGAGGACAGAGGTTCTGGTCCTCACAGCCCGACTGGGAACTGGACGCAGCAGTACGAGCTCACGGGGTTCTGGCTGGGACAACGGCTGACCCGGCACAGAGTGGGGGTCCCATGTCCCATTAAAAGAAACCAGGCTTCCTGCACGCATGGCTGACTCCAGGTATGGGGCAGGAAAAGCACGGGTGAGGGTGGTACGGTGACGCCCATGACGACGACTGGGGCCAAGAGGACGGACACACACATGTGACAACAGTGGAAGATCGGACACCTGAGTTCAGCAATGATGAGACTTTCAATAGACGGAAACCGTCCTGTGTGTAGATACACATGCCACAGATGACAGTAAAAACTGTTCCCCTCCTGAGTGTGACAAGGGACCAACAAGAAGCTGAGAATGAAGTCAAACTTCCGAATTTGAAAACTGGGAAAATAAAGGGGAAAACAATCAAGCACTTACCCTGCCTCTCCTACAAGAACAGTGTTACCGAGCAGCAAGTGAGGCAGGGGAAGGTGGACACCCGAGTCGGCACCCCCCCCCGCGACGCCTGGAATGAGTGGGTCCAGGCGCCGTGCATAACGACGGCACCATCCAACTGCGGTGGCAAGAACCAGCCCCTGCGTGCCTCCTGGGGACACAGCACTGTGCCCCCAGCCCAGCCTACGCCCCACAGCCCCTGCGCCCCGCAGCCGGCCTGACCATCCACAGCCAGAGCGAGAGGCCCCACAAACCCAGCCTGCGGGTTGGCGACCGTACGTCTGCAGTGCTGCTGAGGCTGAGGGGAGACAAAGGCACATGGTGACTCATGTGACTGGGTGGGGGACTGCCTGCTGTCCAGTGGCCACACCGTTTTTGTCTCCACCATGACGTGCAAAATGACCGACTGTCCCACATCCTCACCCACACTTGTCATTGTCCCCTTTGTGATCACAGCTATCCTACTAGGTGTAAAGTGGTGTCTCCCTGGGGTTGAGACCTGCACTGCCCTGACGACGGATACTGCTGTTGCATGCATACTGGCCGAGGACATCTGCTGTGACAGAGTGCCTACTCACGTCACCTGCCCATTTTTAACTGGGCAGCCTTTTTACAGAGCTGTAAGAGTTTCTTACAAATTTTAGGTACAAATCCCTTATCAAACGTATAATATGATTTGCAAAAATCTCCCCCACTCTTGGGCCCGCCGAGTGGCACGATAGTTAAGACCTGGCTTGGGACGCCAGAGGGCCCCGGTTCTGATCCCACATGAGGGCCAGTGACACTGCCCTCCACAGCTAAGATGCTGAACAACAGCTCAACCTGGAGCTGGGCTGCCGTGAGTCGCCGGCAATGGCATAGGCTGCAGCCCCTGCTGAAGTAGGTTGCCATGGGCTACCGTGTGTAGCCAGCAACCAGCGTGAGCGGCCAGCAGCCGCCGTGAGTGGCCGTCCAGAAGCTGGCGACTGATCTGCCTCACCCGGGAAGAGCGCAATGATGGTGCCAACTTGGGCCAGTGAAGCAACGTCCTCCACAACTAGACTGAAGAACAAAGGACAGCAACTTGTCTGTTCCCCTTCCCCCAATTCCCCAACGCTGTTCCCTTCCCCCAATTACCCAATAAAAATCTTAAAAAAAAAAAAATCTCCCCCGCTCTGTGGGCTGTCGTTTTGTTTTCTGGATGGTGCCCTCTGGAGCACAAGTTTTAATTTTAATGATGTCCAATTCACCTTTGTTTTCTTTTGGTGCCCGTGCTGTTGGTGCCATTTCTAAGGAACCAATGCCCAAGGCACATCACAGAGATGCATGTCTAGGCCCATAACCCTACTCCTTAGCAGGGGCTGTGCTGAGTGACCCCCTCCCAAAGAGAACGGTATGCAAAGAACGGAAGAAGGGAGTTGTGGAGAACCTGAAAAGATGACCTCAGCCAGGTGGTCAAAGTCAAAGTCAACTGTCGTAAGTCATGCTGAGTTGATAGTGTGGATACTTGAAAGGACAAAAAGGGCGCTTTACACCTGTGCTCCTCCCTCCTCAAATCCTGGAACCCCAGAAAATCTATCAGAAACAGATCAGACAAAGCCCAATTTAGGGACATCCCACAAAACACCTGACCAGTCCTCCAAACCATCAAGGTCATCGAAAACAAGGAAAGTCTGAGATGTAGCCCAGACCAGAGCAGGCTACGCAGTGACAACAGGTGGCATGCGGTCTCCTGGGAGAGACCAGGACATTAGGCGAAGACTAAGGAAATCATCCACTTCACATTAGGATGGTAATTATAAAAAAAAAAATAAAAAATTTGTTTCCCTTAAACAACTGAAAAGATTTCAATTCACTCATAAGAGTAAAATAAATCAGAATTACACAGAGGTTCACTTTTCGTCTATTAAAGTGGCAAGAATTTAAAAAGCCTGACATCACGTTCTGTGGGTGAAGCTACGAGCGCACGTGTGCCCACTGCTGGTCGGAAAGTGGAGTGGCTCCCCAGCGGCCGTGACAAGCGGGTCTGTTGACAGCGGCAGGCATGCTCACCTAGGAACGCACCCAGAGCCTCACTTCTGGGAATTCACCCTGAAGGAGTACCTTGAACAAGCCGAAAGTACGGTACGCACCCGGTTACTGATTACAGCACTGTTTGTAATTGCAAAATGCTGGAAACAACCTAAGTGCCATAAAAATAGTTGGACAGACCCAGGATAGCCACAGGAGGGAGGCTGGCAGCTGGAGAGGGAACAGTCTGTACAGCGAGACAGGCGCTCACAGGACACATCAGGGAGTAAACACGGCCAAGAGTAAACAAGTGTGTACAAAGTGCAGGGAAGGAGGGGATGAAAAGACAAGAGGCACAGAAAGAAGAGTAAATAAAATGATGTACAGAAGGAATAAGCCGGAAGCTAACAAGACGCTTCTCTTGAGTATGCGTGACCTTGACTTCTGAAACCACGATCATGTTTCAGACACTCAAAAAAAAAAAAAAAAAAAGGTAACATTAAAATCAACATGGAGAAAAATGACATAGAAAGAAATCAGCTTAAGATGAATAATATAACCACAGTGCCTGGTAGGATGCTAACCTGAGGCACTTCTGAGTGTCGTTTGGACCACGTGCTCTCAGACCCACAACAAAAGGCACGTGAACCAGTGCTTAACCCCAGGGAGCAGACTTTCACACATAATGGCGGGTCAGCAATTCTAAAACAAAGCCTGGGTACTCAAGGATCAAACAGTAAGTAAAATATTGAGGAAAATAGAAGCTGGTTTTCTCACTGTCCACAAGGGAGTGAGTGACATGGGCGAGGGGCAACCAGGGAGAGCAGGGCAGTCCATGGGACTACAGCTGCAGGTGAAAGCCCCCCATCCCGCACACCGGCAGTGCAGGAGGGCATGGCAGCGTCACCTCTCACTGCTAGAAATACGTAGAAGGTCTTCCGTAAGGCAGAGTCCCAACTGAGAGGTGGAGGCGTGGAGGATGCGAAGATTCACCATTTGTCAACATGGTAATCGTCCATTCAGGGAAGAACCAATGGGTGCCACAAACGACTTAAAAATTACAAATGAAAAAACAGTAGAAAAACCTGCAGTCACCACTTATCCAAGTGCTAAAGTCAGTATCACCAATAATGCGACAAACAAATGCTGAGCCTTGTGAAGTGATGAGCTGGGGACACAGCACTTCTGGGTATTCCTGCCCAAAATGTGTCATAAGCTGCACTGAATCATGAAGACACAGCAGACAGACCCAAGTCGCAGGACTTTTGACCTAACTCTTCAAAAATGTCCAAACCATGAAAGACGCCACCTGAGACCCCGTCCATATCGCAGCCCAGAGAGCTCAGCTCCCAGACCAACACGTTCCACCCGGCTGTTTCGGGCTCTAATGAGAACAGCTGGAAGGATCCTAACGTGGTCTGTCAACCAGACAAGAGAGCAGAATCGATGCTGATCTGCTAACTGGTCCCTGCATTGCGGTCACAGGAGGAGGTCCTTGCTGGCAGGAAACACTGAGACAGAGAGGAAAGGGGTCGCATCCGCACTGGCCCTGATGGCGGCAGAGCAAGATGGCCTGTCCGCAAGGGACGGGCGACGTTAGCCAGGGAGTCGGGGACAGGGGAGCCAGAGTTCTTGACTAGCAATCGACCTGTAAGTTTGACATTAGTTCAAAATAAAAGTCATAAAACAAAGAAATGAACATTTCCAAACAAGATACAAGACATGAAGCAACACAGATAAGATTTTCAAAAACTCAGAAATGAAGTGACAGAACTCAAATGAAACTAGAAGGAAAACAAAGAATATCCTAGAAGTGAGGATTAAATTAGTGGGGGCGCAGAGGCTGATATGTGCCACCAACGGTACGTAGAGAAACAGGAGGGCACGAACGTCCAATCGTGTGGCACATCTGAATCTATATGCCAATTACACCTCAATCAAAAAAAAAAAATAGAAGGTGAAGGTGGGAATTTTTAAGTCAAAGAAAAACAGATTAAAAAGAATTGGAGAGTGAAGCTTTGAACTCTGGTGGAAGAAATGCACAGCACGATTCCACAAAGAAACCCGAAGCACAGAACAGGTGCCAGAACGCTCCAGAGACCCGGTGCATGCTGAACGGGCATCACGGACCAGACAGTATCAATGCAGAGAAGTCAACACCAACACATGCGACAAGAAAACGATGGGGCTTTAATGAGAAAAACGATCCTAAAAGAACATGACTTTTAACTAAAACTCACTGGTACAACAGGCCTAAGAAACGAAGTGACCGTCCACCCAGACAGCCCACCTCCAGGTAATGTCTTGGAGGAGCGCGCCTCTTTCCCGAGACACCTGTGTCCGGTGCTGAGTGCAGCTCTGACTCGGACATTCCAGTCACAGGGAAACGCGTCAGCGGCGGCTGAGGGACCCGGGCCGACACCCAGTCAGGACGCTGCAAGGCCAAACCTATTTTCTACGAAATGATGATTCGCTATTTGTCCTTTTCTTTTGTTCTTTCGTGAGTACACAGTGCAATTTCCAGAGGCTGCACGGGGGAGGCTGCTTATGACCCCAAAGTGTCTACACCCTCATCCCCAGAGCCTGTGAGCGTGTCACCTCACTCAGCAAAAAGGACTTTGCAGGTGTGAGGCGCTAAGGACCTTGAGATGGGAGGGGGTCCTGGATCATCAGGCTGAGCCCTAAATGCAACCACAGGGTCATCTGAGGGAGGCAGGAGGTCAGAGTCAGAGGGGACGGGACAATGAGCAGAGGGTGCAGTGACGTGGGGTCCTCAGAAGCTGGGAAAGGCTGAAACGGGTTCTCCCGAGACCCCCGGATGGAGGTGGCCTTACTCCTGGGAACTGTAAGATAACAAGGCTGTGTTGCTTCAGCCTGAATCTGTGGTGACCTGTCACAGCAGCAAGCACTGGACCCAGCACGCGGTGATACATCAGGTCCAAAGCAGAAAGAATGAAATTCCAGTCTGTGATTAAGCCAAGTAGTAAAGAGATTTGCAAAACTGTAAAACAATGCCACTCTTCTAATTTTTAAAAATAATTATTTTTCAAGAAAATGTCATCTATTAGTATGTTATAGACGGGATTGTATCCTCCAAAAAGATTCGTTCACATCCTAATGCAACAGCTGTGAATGGGACCTTATCTGAAAACAGGGTCTCTGCACATGTGACCAAATAAAGACGGGTCACAGTGACAAAGGCGGGTCCCAATGCAGTGAGTGGAGTCCTTGTAAGAAGAGGAAATGTGGTCACAGACACAGAGGGGGACCATGAGAAGCAGAGGCTGGAGTGATGCAGCCACAAGCCAAGGACTGCCAGCAGCGGGCCCCCAGAGCCCTGAGAGGAGGTTTCTGTTATTTTAAACCTCTCAGTATTTGATTCTTTGTGACAGCAGCCCCGGGAAACTAATATAACTGTAACAGCTTGTTACTTAAATGAATAAGTAAATACATCTTTTACACTGTTTTAGTCTCCATTGTAACAGTAATTATCCACAGATGCAGCTCACACAGGCCAAGCTCAGCAAGTTTTAAGAATGTAAAGGGTCCTGAAGTGAAATGTTTGAGAACTTCCGTGTTAAATAAACAAATGCCACTTACAAGGGCTCCCTCTTTCAATGCAGATGTGTGAGTGGCTCAAAGGAGTCCCGGAGGCCAGCACAGGACTCACGAGGGGGGCAGACAGGGAGCCACTCGGGGGCCCCGCTCCCTCCGAAGGCTGCTCACGCTTGTGACCAAAGCAGGAATGAAGTCACCAAGACTGTCTACACCTGTGCCCCACAGCCCAAGGGAGGGCACAGCAGGACATCTGAAGACACACATCGCGCAACGCATGGAAGCCAAAACCAGCAGTGATGAACTGCTGGAAACCTCTCCTACGGCATGAGCACGTCTGGATTCCTCGTCAGCCCAACAAAGGCCAGGGAGACCGTGTGGACAACCAAGCGTGTCTACCAAACGTCCACACATACTGTGACTGCTGCTGCCTATGAGCAGACATGGACAATGCTGTTGGTTATGAGAAAATGTCTCCAGTTAATACATCTGTTTCCATCTTTACATACTAGAGGGAGAGTCCACACCGGCTGGGGGAGGATGGTAAGGTCTTCAGGAAACACTCGAATGGTTGGGCGGTACCCACCCCACCCAGTCTGTGAGGCCAAGAAGCCTCTTGAAGAAGCTGGCGTTGTCCCCTAGTGCCAAGTGATGGGCCCTGGGCCGGCTCAGCCTCCAGGCCCCGAGACCCTGTGTCACCACCTTCAGTTTCCTGCTGGAAGCTTACCTGAGCTGGAGTCGGCGCCAAATGCCAGGGAGGGTTCGCTCTGCTGGGCTGCCTTGGTCTGCTCCTCCAGGACCTGATCCACGGCGTCCAGTCCGGAAGCCACATCGTGGGGGGTCAAGTCAAAGGATGCCGACTCCTCGCACATCTTTTCCTGAGAGCCCACATACACCGTGTTATGGGGAAACAGGGGCTCCGGGAGGCCAGCGTGGAGAAAGTAAAGGCAGTGGAGAAACCCCGGCCCACCCCCGCGGCCTCTGCAGCCAGGACACAACTTGGTCCCAGGATGGCTACCACCGAGGCCAGTGCTTGAAAACCATTTTATTTCAGCGGCCAACATTTCCTAATTGGAAAATTTCCCATTCAAATCTAGACTCCTGGCTGTGGTCAAGGCCACATCCAGCCCACCAGGCCCCACCGTCCCTCATGGTGACAAATCGGGGCTGAGGGCGACCACCACCGACTCAGGACGCCCAGCTCTCGCAGGGCACAAACAGGGCCACCCGCAGCCTTCCTCCAGCACCCGGTCAAGGCTGGCCATGCCTGGAACCAGGGCCCCGACAGAAGCCACACGCACGGGTGGGACAGTGTGCGGGTGACAGGCAGGGCAGCGCCTTACCCAGGTTTGTTTGGCCCTGACAGGTGGGGCCACAGGGGCTGGGCAGAGGTCTGCAGGGAAGCGCGGGGGCCATCACTCACCAGGTTGTGAGCTTCGTCAAAGATCACGACCGTCCCCTTCAGGTCGATGCTGTGTGCCCGGCGACTCTGCAGCAAGGAGGAAGGAAGTCAGGGCTGGCACCGGGCGGGGAAGCCACTGCCCCTCACGGGGCCCTCGGAGGCACGCAGCAGGCAGGGAGGCTCAGGGAGGCCCACGCGGCCGGGGACACCGGAAAAGTCTCCTTCCTATCGACTGGCCACGGCCGCTGGGCACTGCCCACCCACCGAGCTGGACGCACTCACGCGGCACGAGGGCAGGCATGGGAGCACTCGCGCTACACAGCCAGACACAGGAGGGAGGCCAACCAGTACCGCCCGCCTGACACCCACTGGGGAGGTTTTGAAATCCCCAAATGTGAGGGAAGTGATCTGGGATGGGGTCTGGCATCCATCTCTTTTCATCAAGTTAATCTGAAGTTTAATTTTCACCAAATAAAGTGCCCATTTTAAGTGTGCAGTTGAGTCTGAAACGCGGGCACCGCGAAGCCATCGCCCGAGCGGGAGACGATGTCCCCACCGTGCAACCTCAGAGCGGCTTTCCATGAGCGGGTGGGGACCGCGGCGGCCTGCGCCCACCGTCCTAGCCACGGGCTCCCGTGCAATCGTGTTCCCCAGGGACCTGTGCCTGTGGCCGTTTCAAGGACATCGCCTGTTGATGGACAGGGGTCCCCTGCCTTTGGCAACTGGTAAAGCTCCGCCTTGGACGCGGCTTCCTTCCTGGGCATGACTCAGGGCAGGGTGCCACGTCTGCCCTCCTGTGCCCCACGTCCTTGCCGACACAACTTGGCTGAGGTCTTGTTAACTTCTACCGTGCCATCAGCTTGGCTTTTTGCATGTTTCCTGAGCTCTCTCACGCACAGCTGACTGGGCCGTCCCCTTTCACATGACGTGTCTGACCTCCAATGACCGGCTGGGTTGTTAATGTATTGAGAGAGCACTGGACACACAGCCCCTTCAAGGACAAATGTACCAGGGGCACCTACCCCTTTCTGTGACTTGCCTTCCAATTTTCTTCATTTTCCTAACTCTTTGAAAGCATCAAGGCCTCAAATTGTAGTGAAGTCCATCTCATCAGTTTTTTCTTTATGACGAGTGCCCTGTGTCTGAGCAAAGAAATCTCAGTCCCCAGCCCCTAGGTCCTCCCCAAGGAGTTGGAGCTTTGTAGCTTTCACACCTCAGTTCACACCATGGGAAAAACTTGAAGTGCTGGCTGAGATTCACTCTTTTCCAAACACACATCCGGCGATTCCAGCAGCATTTGGGGGGAGAAAACGTCACCTTTGCTTTCCCACTGAACTACGTGGGAAAGGCTGTCGAAGCCCAAGTGCCCCGTGTGGGCCTGCCGTCAGGAGTGTGGGTCGCCCACCCTGCCTGCTTTCACAAGACTGTCTTTGTCCTCCTCTGAGATCTTCTGAATTTCTGCGAGTTTCTGGAATCAGCTTGTCAGTTGTGACAGGACTGCCCTGGGGCAGGCCCAGGCCCAGGCAGCCAGGTTGAAAGCACAACAGGGCGGGTCACACAGCCGCTCGGCAGCCTACAGGCTGTGCCCGAGTCAGGTGCCTCAGTGGCCCCTGCGCCCCGTCCCTCGCCCCAGCCATACCCATGCCAGCACCATCTGGCCCCCACGCTCACTTCCCCTCGGCCCTTAGGTCCTATCGGCTGCTGTGCTGACTTTTGCTGTCCACCCCCCGACCAGAAGCAGAGCTCCACCCATGACCCTGGTGTTTCTCACTGCTGCCTCTCCACCCAGGACTGCACCCAGCACAGTGGCTGTCAACATGAGCCCCGGACAGGGGCACGCCCACAAGTTATCATCACAGAAGTACCAGGCGCTGAACCCGTGCAGTGACGCCCTACGTGAAAACAGGGGGCCACACAAAAATGTGTATGCATGAGTCCTGAAGGCCAAGCCTGAGGACCCTCCCTGAACTGCCTCAGGGTCCAACTAGAAAGACAGAAGCCAACCTGCCCGAATGGCCAGCCCTCGGCCCAGGCTGGTCACCGAGCCCTGACCAGTGAGAAAAGTGGTCCTCCCAGGCATGCCTGCTGTCCCGAGCGAGGGTCTCATCCCAGGCCCCAAACCAGCAAAAGCTCTGACAGTCCTTCGCAAGCCTAGGAACCCGCCAACACCAGTGGTCAGCTGCATGGGCTGAGGCCTCACCTTGGCGTCCAGCAGGTAGTTGTATGGCATGAAGATGATGTCAGCCTGCTGCTTCAGGTTCCGGGAAAGGTAGTACGGGCACAGCCTGGGGGTGGCACGGGAAAGATAGTCGGGCACGGCCTGGGGGTGGCACGGGAAAGGTAGTCGGGCATGGTCTGGGGGTGGCACGGGAAAGGTAGTCAGGCACAGCCTGGGGGTGGCACGGGAAAGGTAGTCGGGCACGGCCTGGGGTGGCACGGGAAAGGTAGTCGGGCACGGCCTGGGGTGGCACAGGAAAGTAGTCGGGCACGGCCTGGGGTGGCACGGGAAAGTAGTCGGGCACGGCCTGGGGTGGCACGGGAAAGGTAGTCGGGCACGGCCTGGGGTGGCACGGGAAAACACCATGAGCTGCACACGCGGGCCCAGCAGTGCTCCCATAGGCTGAGGCGGGGCCACCGCTCAGGACGTGCAGCAGCAACACTGGGCCGTGGCCCTGGGCAGGTGGGACACTGCATCCCTGACAGGCACTGCGTGGGAGGCTCAGACGCCCCCAGAGCCTGGGGCCAGCAGCACAGCCCACTGCACTGCTGTTCACACCACACGTGCTCCATCCTGTCAGTGGATTGCCTATTGAAAAACCCACAAAACGAAAAACCCCACCCCTGTTCCTGGATAGACCAGTGAGGTCATCAGAAACCAAACGTCTGCTCGTCACAGCGCAAAGCCCTGAGAGGAGGTGGCCAGGGGGCTGGCACAGCGGTCACCTGCGGGGGGCTGAGGGCGGGAAGGAGGGCGAACGCCCCTTCCTACGTTCTAGTCCTCAGAATCGCTCAGAGCTACTGAACAAGTGTTGGTTTCACGATTAAAAAAGGAAAACAGAGGAGGAAAGAAAAGCGTGCCTCCACTCACTGCGGGAGAACCGGGTGGAAGGACGTGGCCCAAGCGGCCTCGCCGGGAGGGGTCTTACTTGTGCTTGTTCCCACTCTTGACCAGATCCTCGATGTCCAGGATCGGGGTGGCCAGCTCCTGCTCCAGGCTCTTCTCTGGGGGTACGGGCAGGAGTAAACACACGCCCTCCTGCCCACTGAGTCTCCCAGACCCCAGGACGCCCAGGACAGAACGGCCCCTACACAGTGCACAGTGGGTGTGGCCACCGGGGACCCTCCCTTGGGGCAGGACTGGGGCACCCCAGTCACCTGGGCTCACCAGAATCCCTGCTCTATGGGCCTCAGGGTCCCCTTGGGAGGGCCCTGAACCTGAAGCGATCCTGAGGGAGCCCTGTTCTGTACCCCAGAAGGTGACCACCAGCCCGAGGCCAAGCACCAATAGGAGACAGGTGCTGATGCAGTCCCCCAGGGACCATGGGGACAGAGGAGAGGGAGAACCTTCAGCCTGTCACTGCTGCCCCAGACAGTCTCAAAGACACAGGTATCTCCCACAAGCCCTGTGCCATGCGTCCAGGCTGCAGTCTGACAGCAGGTCGCTTCCACACGCCCCACTTTCCCAATGAGAACAGGCCCACGTCTCCTTCTAAAGGAGAGCTGGATTCCACAGAGCACGGCAGGAATGCTGGGTGGCACTACCCAGCAGGGACGGCAGAGCTGAGGCACAGCCCCCCCAAGACCCAGCAGTCCCGGGGCGCCTTCCTCGGAGTGGCCCTAGGCAATAAGGGCCTCAGGAAGAAGCACAGGCCCTCAGCGGGCCGACAGGGTCTGCTGAGAGCTGCCGGAACCCAGCGACTCCAGGGCTCATGCCCTGGTGGGTGGGACCAGGGGGTCTCTGCTGACAAGCACCTCAGAGGGTCTCAGGGCAGCCACATGTGCAAACCGACCTGGGGCTCCCAACCCCGCTGTGGCAGGTACCAGGCCAAGCCCCAGAGTGCCCCCAGAGGCAGGAGAGGGAGAGGAGGAAGAGCATCCACTCAGCAGTGCCACAGCAACTGACCAGCCAATCCGTGCACTAGGCGGCCGTGAGGGGGATGGGAGCACGGCGGGCCCCCATGGCTGCCTGCCGGGCGGGCCCAGCTCTGTCTCTCCTCCCACACCAGCCTCCCTCTCCTCTCAGAGCCTCCTGGGTCTCTGTCCGCTTCTCTCTCCCCTCCGAGGGCTGGGCAGCTGCTGGAGACACCCACTCCCATCCCATGGGAGCGGGGCGGGGGGCGGGGGGGCAGGGGAGGCTGAGACACAGCAAGGATGCTCAGGTTTACAGTGAGCAGACCCCCCACACACCAAAAGCCCTGGCAGCAAACACCAGAGCAGAGCAGGTGGGTTGGGGCCTGGGGAGGTGACAGATGGAGGCTGCAGCCAGCAGGCTACCTGGGACAGCCTCCCCCGTTCAGCCACACAGGGCCTGGGACAGTGGGGATAAGGTCTGCAGCCCAGGGAGCCAGCATGGATGCAACAGTGTCTCTGCTGTGGGCTGAAAGCTCCCCTCAGCCCCACCTCCGCCTCCCCTGGCCTCCTGACCCGTCCCTGCTCAGGGACCCTCCAAGTGAAGTGAGGGACTGTGCAGATAAGGGACCTTGCCTGCGGGTGAGGGACCCTGCAGGTGAAGGGCAGTGTGGGTGAGGGATAGTGCAGGTGAGAGAAGGTGCAGGTGAGGGACCCTGCAGGTGGAGGCTAGACCAGCAGAGTGGGTGAGCTAACCCACAGCAGCTGTGGACAACAGACTGCAGCGGTTCCCAGGGTGCTGCTCAAAGGCTCTGGCACGTGGTGAGTGGGGCTCTGGCACCCCACCCTCTTTGTCAGGGATGTGGACAGGGAGGCAGCCACAGTGGGGCTGAGGGGACGACTCCATGGAGCATACGGGCGTGATGCTAGGGCCGTGCGAAGGCAGGGCTGAGGTGGGAGCGCTGTGAGCAGAGGGGGGACAAGGAGAAGAGGAAAGAATGCCTTCCGAGGACCCCAACACCCACAGGCCTGACGCACAGAGGAAGCAGAGGCAGGCAGGCAGTGGGCTCTGCCTGGGGTCAGGACCAGCTGCCACAGGCCACAGAAACCAGTGGCTGCCCTCGTCCAGAGTGGCTGCACATCAGGCAGGTGCACACTCTTCCCACGCACCCTTCACTGCTGTCCCAAAGGTCCTCGGTGCCACCAGACCAAAAAACAGAGCAAACAAGAAAGGGCAAGGAGCACGTTCCGGGATCCTGGGTCCTCACCAGAGGCCAAGCTGTGCAGGAGATGGGACCCTGCCCAGCCACACTCGCACCCGGTCACACCTGAGGTGGGCCTGAGCCCACCCTGTCTCTCCAAGGGGCAGGGTACAGGAACCCTTGTGCTGGGAGGTGGGGGACCCCCAGCTCGGGCCTCTGGGAGCACAGTGCTGTCCTGACCCTCTGCCAGCACAGGCCTGGCACACTGGGCATGCCAAACCCCAGGCTGGCACACTGGGCATGCCAAACCCCAGACAGATGGCAGCCTGCGGACCACCAACACCTGAGAATGCTTCAGGGCCCCTCAGTGTCAGCGTCTGAGTCCCAATCCTGAGGCAGGAAACTGAGGGGAGCTGACTGTCCACGCCACAGAGCCCCGCCTGCAGACAGGAAAGGGGGTGACCACACCCCAGAGGCCTCTGCTATAGATGTCTTGACAGACACAAGGGGCAGCCCTGCAAGGGAGATGCCGAGATTAAAGGGGGAGGGCCCCAATGCCAGCCCCTATACTCTGGGCCCCAGGAAAGTCGGCAAGAGAGAGGGGTCCCCTTCACAGGGCCACGGGCACCTGCGGTCACCCACAGCAGGCAGAGCCAGGGAGGCTGCTGTCCCCAGCCCTGTGCTCATCACTGTCACCCATCTCTGGATGAGGCTATTTACCACATAGCACCAAAGGCTACAGGACTAACTAGGACTAAGCCCGAGACTCAGAACCATATCCACGAGGTGACAGCGGTGCCTCACAGCAAAGGAACACACCCCAAAATCCGAGAAGGGAGAAGCGTGCAGGAGTCCGGGAGACCAGGCGCAAGCTTCCAGAACCCTCCCCAGCTAACTCCCCCAGAACGCTGCACCCCAGGAAGCTTGCCTGAGACCCGGCCTCCAGGCTTTCTCCTGGGGGCGTCACGTGGGCACCCCTCCCTGGCAGGCACCCAGTTCCAGACTCCCAGAGGGAAGCAGGTGCTCAGCACAAACCACATTGTTTGCAGGCAGTTTAGGCCCAGGGAGCCCCTCCTCCCTGGGGGTGGTGGGGACCCAAAATCCACGTTCCCAGGTGGGTGAGGCAGCCTCGCCAGTGGGCCTTCTGAGGTGGCACCCTCAGGCCCATTGTGCAAGCTCTCCAAGCGCCGCCCCACACAGGTCCCCAGTCAGAAAACATGTGGGCACCTGCATCCTCAGCTGAGCCCAATGCAGCCACACGAATCACAACAGTGACAGCCAACAGGCCGTGGGGCCACCAACTCAGCCCTCTCTCCCCCCGACCCTGCCGCATGCTGACCGGAGGTAGGAGCAGCTCCTGGGAGCCCCTCTTACCTTCGACATTGTTGTAGAAATGACAGGAGTGGCTTGCCACCTTCTTGCGGCACAGGTGGATCTGGGAGAGGAAGGATGGGGTCTCGGCTGGCGGGAAGGCCCGTGGGTCCGCCCCTGGCTGTGCTGCCTGACTGCAGCGCCTGTCCCCGGCCAGTTCCGCCCTGTTGGCTCCACTCCACTCCAACCAGCCCTGTGCCCGCTGTCCCCCAGGGAGCTCTGAGCCTGGCAGCACCACCCAGCAGAACCACAGGATGGGGCGGCCCAGAAGCCCACCTGCACGTGGTTACTCTCCTGCTTCTTCACCTCGGGGTGGATGCACAGCTGCTCCCGGGAGCCCAGCACGCACACCTTGGGCCTGGGGAGAGAGCCGTGCGGTCCACACAGTGCCGTCCAACAGCATGAACCATGTGGGGACACATGGGAGCACCGGGACACTCGGCTCACTCAGGCAGCCAGAGGGAGTGGCCCTAGCCAGAAAGTGCTCCAGGCTTAGGAGGGGCTTCCTCTGCGGCATGGCCCAGGGTGAACAAAGAGACAGGCAGGGGGACAGGGCAGATGGGAGGGGACTCGCAGGCATCTGGTGACCCTGCAGTTTCCAAGCTCCCTCACACGGGAGGCCAGGTGGAGCACCCCCACAGCCTGCAGGGAGCTCGGGGTGCGAAGCAAAGTCAGCATGTAAACTCCAGGACAGCCGGCCCTCACCATGGCAGCAAGCCCTCAACCACTGGTGGAGGCCACCCCCACACAACCGAGGCGGGGTGAGCGCTGTCTGACCCACCGGTAGGAGGTGTTCCGAAGCTCGCCGATGGCCTGCGTGAGCTGCGAGTGGGTCCTGGAGGCATAAATGACCTTTGGGATGTCCGTGTAGGAGGCTGGCCAGGCACAAGGAAGCAGAACAGGTCAGGGCCCCAGAGATAACGTCCTGTGTGCTGTTAACCCAGGGGCTCTCGGCTCACTCCGTCCTTCAGAGGGCAAAGCGTCCTATCCGACACTCATTCCCAGGAGTGGATTACGTGGATATCGGCAGTGTCCTAATTCGACCCTAGGGCTCAGACCCTGGCTTTACAGCCAGCTCTGCTCCAGGGCCCGCGCCATCCCTTCCGTACCTCCCAGGGAAGGCCAGGAGAGGCTGAAAGGAGCGTCACCTGTGGCATCTCCATCTGAAGCAGCATTCCCCCAGGACGATAAGGGGCGATGGAGGAAGAGCTCCCCTGGCACCCTCTCAGCGATCTTGTGGGCAGAGATGGCGTCGCGGAGGTGCTCCCGCCAGGCCAGCGTGGCGCACAGCAGGCACAGGGTCTTCCCTGTACCTGTGGGGCTCTCCAGAATGCCATTCACTTTCTGAATGGGGTGGGAACAGGGTCACAGGGAAGCAGGGTGAGGCACAGCAGGCCACAGCCCACCTGAGACAAGCCCACAGCTCTGCTCAGGCACAGCCCCACCTCCACTCTCAACCAGAAGCTGTGGGTGAATCCAGCCTTCATTAGCAAGCCATTTGCAGAACATTTTTTAGCCTAATATAAATAGTAAGATGAATAATTAGGTGCCAAGTCTCAAAACAGGAGATTGTTCTGCGGGCTGGCTCCAGGCTTTCACACTAGTGGAGGGAACTGATGGCCTACATAGCTCTACCAGGCGAGCCTGAGCAGGAAACCTGGGGAGACACGGAGGCAAAGCTGCACTCCCAGCCCCACAGGAGTGGGGTCCTCGCAGCAGGACCCCAGCTGCAGTCAGCCCTCGGGTTGGGGGCTTGAGCAGGATAAGGAGGCACCCTGAGAAACCCCACAGAGAGCAGCTGCACCTCTCCCACCCTGTTGTGCACCCAAGGTTTAAAGATCTTCCAGAATGAGGGCTGGGCACTGCTGTCCCTCCAGGTGAAATACTATCTCCAGGTCCATCAAGGGCCAGCTGCTCCTTGTCACTTGGCCTCAGCTAAACTGCCACCTCCTCAGAGAGGCCCCACAGGTGCTCCCAAGCCTGTATCACCTATGTCTTTTCTTCATAGCACTAATTACCACTGAGAATTATATTTTCTTGTTTCCTTATTGTTGCCCTTAACCCACCGAGAACATCGGCCCTATTTATGATGAAATCCCGTGTCCAGAAGGATACCTTTCACCCAGTAGGACCTGGTCAAAGTGAGTAGGGTGGTGGAAGTATGTCAGGCCCTTGCTGGAGCTCTGCCCACACTGACCCATCCCCCAGGTCCAAACCCCTCGGTCTGCAGCTTTACCTTCTGCAGACACTCCAGAACCTTGGTCATGTACTCCTCTTGGCATTGGTAAGGCTGGAAAGGGAAGTCCACCGTGACACCATTCAGAGTTATCTTGGGCATACTGGCCTGTTCTCGGGAGGGCACACAGGTTGGCTGAGATGCAGGCTGTACGGGTCTGAGGGACAAAACCCCCTTTGGACATCTCAGGGTCTCAGCCCCTCCAGGTAAGTGACGCCAGCCTGTGGCACTGGGACATGACACTTTTCTCCACAGGGACCCCTAGGGCACAGAAATGGGGACAACAAGACTGTAGCCAGCCTTTCTGGAGTGCCAGGCCACTTTCGCCCGTTGTCTCTGGCAACCCCTCCCATGGACATCCTATCACAAGGAGCTCGGAGGTGAAGAAGGCAGCCTCAGCCGGGCCTTGCTCTTCCACGCTACACAGCTCCGTCCCGCTCCCGGAGAGGCCGCCAGGCTAAGAGACAAAAAGAGCGGACGAGGCACAGTTCCCCACGCTCCACCTGCAGTGATAATTCACTTCCCTCCCCCAGAGCTGGAGAGGCCGGATTCTCGCAGCGTTCCTCCCCAGCCCGGGCCTGTCTGAGCCTCCTGTCCCTGCGTCTCCCAGCCCTCGGCTCCCCAGGCCCGGCGCTAACACCCGTCTCTCCCTGGGGGGCAACCAGGTGTAGCGACAGGTCACGTGCGCCTGCTCGGACCTGGGATGCGACTCCGGGTGGCCCCCAGCAAGTCACCCAACTTCTCTGGGCCTCAATTTCGCCTGGACTAACAGCACATTCACCTAAACACTGAACGCCCGCCCTTCCTGCAGGGCCGGCTCACATGGAAGCCACGGCCACAGGACCGGCTCAGCAGGGCGCGGCGCGTAGAGCCCACGAGCGCAGAAAAACTGTCGGCCCCAGAAAGCAGCGCGGCCGAGTCGCCGACGCGCGGGCCCGAGGGCGGCGCGAGGCCTGCCGGGAACTGTAGTTTCCGAAGCCGCCGCTCGAGTAAAGGCACTACCAGTTCCAGGGTCTCCGCGACTCACGGCCCGCTTGTCTCCACGGGGAGCTTTCCACGACCGGGGGTCCCCAGGAATTCACCCCAGTCCTGCCGAGGCGCCGCCAGCGCGTCCCCCGCCGTCATCCGGTTCAGATTTCGCGGGCTGAGGCGCGCATCCGTCACGGAACGCGCTGCACTTCTGCCCCCAGTTCCGGTCCGCGGCGCGGTGCTCCCAGCGGAAACCGTGTCCCGGCCGAGGGGTCCGCGCTGCGCGTGCGCTGGGTTCCAGGCCCCCTCCCTGCCCCTTTCTTTCCTGAGCCTGGGGACCGACACCTCCATCGCCCACGGGCAGGAAAGTAGGGTCCCTGCGGTCTCCTCCCTCGATGTCATTCATCCTCACCAGGTTCAACGTTCCACTACCCCTCCCTGGGCCAAGCCACCTCGGTTGCCTGGACAACCGCACAAGCCTTAGCCTTTTAATTGGCTTCCCTTCTTTTCTTCAAAACCCACAGCTCTATTTAAGACTCGAGTCTGAGCCGGATCACTCTCCTTAAAACCGCAAATGACCTTGCCATGACATGGCTCCTGAAAGCCTCACCAGCTCCTCTCTTTACTGTCCTCTGGATCCAGCTGCTTTTTCTGGTCAATGTACCCCCCTGGTCAGGGTGGGCCCCTCTCAATCCCCAGCACGTAGCACCAGCTGGCAGTCAACAGGGGGTCCCAGAAATCTGCACAGCTCTGTGGAGTCAGAGATATTTGCGTAGGCGACCACAGCATGTTCTAAAAGCACCAGGAAGAAGTTGATGCTGAAGTGATGGCCCAAAGCCAGGGGCCACGCTGATTTCAGAGCTTCTCATGGGCTCATTTAATGTCCAGATGTTTTCCCGCTGAGGGTGCATTTATGCCACGTGTGTGTGTCCATGCTGGTGTGTGAGACCATGCTTGGGGAAACACATGACAAGCTGGCATTCACCCCCACCCGCCTGTCCTGGTGAGGGGACTGTGGAGTGCCTATCTTAGACTCAGCAGGAGCACAGAGAAGATGAGGAGATCTGGCCACACACTCACTGAATTCTCCCTAGCCACAGGCTTCAGTACCATCTGTGCAGGCACTGACGTGTTTGTCCTTCCAACAACCTCTGTGATAAGTTCTTTTATTGTCCACAGTTTACAGGTGAGGGAATAAAGCACAGGGTGGGTGGTTAGTAGGCTGCTCAAAGCCAGCCGCTAGCAAGTCTCAGAGCCAGAAGTCACCCTCTTCAACTCCACCCCCCCCCATCTTCTGAGAGCAGCAGCGTTCATCCTCCCAGAAGACCAAGGAAAGGAAGGCCAGGATCCAGACACTTGGCAACCTTCTGGGCCAGAACTGGAGCTGAGGACCCCGAAACCCTGAGGCGTGAGCTGCCTGGTCACACATCACATGTAGGGACTACCCAGCCTCCTATAAATTATAACACATAAATGCCGTTGTACTGAACCTAGCCCTGAGAGATGACAGGGAAGGAAAGCTGAGGCTGGCCTTAGCAAGTCCCACTCAACAGGCACAGAGATCTTGACCAAGTCAACAATTTGAATTGAGCATCTGCTCTGGCAGGTTTGTGGGCCTCCCACAGTGGACCAGACGCCATGTGGACCACTGGACAGATGTTAGCCAGCCACACGCTCACCATGTGTGCACATCAAGATGTGATTATGTGTATGCCTGCTGGCCCTCCTCCCGGACAACTCTGACCCTTAGGTCTTCCCCTGTCTTTCACCTTTCTGAGCCCACCTCACTTTTCTGCAGGTTCCCAAGGTTTCCCAGAGTTTTATTCCTGGCCTTGGGATTTAATTTCTTGTGGAGTAAGCACTTCTCTCAGCCTTGGTGGCTCTGTCCTCAAGGTGGGAATGACACTTCATCCGTCTGACTTCCTATTCGTAAAGTGAGGAGAGGCGGTCACTGCAGGAGAGGGCCCACTGTCTCTGCTAGGCTCTCTCTTGTGGGAATCACCTAGAGCCCTGAGCCCACAGGAGGAGGAGAGGCAGAGCACCTGCCCACTCACTCACCAGTGTGTACATCTGCCCTCTGTCATCTGGGGATGTCATTGTCTCATCTGACCCTGAGAAATGGAAGCCCAGAGGGTTCAGAAACTCACTCTCAGTCACAAAGCAAGTGGCTGTCAGAGCTGGGTTTGGAATCCACCTCCGCCTTCAAAGCCCTTGTCCTGGGCCCATGGTCACCACGCCTAGTTTGCTTCTTCTCTGCCTCCGAATCTGCTCACCCCTCAGGATGCCTGTCGGAGGGCTTCCAGACCAGCCCCCACCCCACCGTCCAGGACCGCTTTCCCCTCAGCACAGACCTCGCCACACAGAAGGTGCCTCCCAACCTCCGGGAGCCTCAGTGAAGTGTTCTCCAACCCTCCCTTCGCGTTGAAGCCGTCCCCTCCTGCCGGGCCCACCCTGGGGAACGGGGGCTGTCTCCGTCATCGCTCCTAACCCTGCACAAAGCCGAGTTAGGGAGCGGCAGGTCCTGGCAGTGAGCGGTGGGAGGATGGGCATACCGTTGCAGCGTTCCGCCTGCGTCCATGCTGCTCTCTCTCCTCTGCCCTCCCCTCCCGTCACCCCTCTTCCTCTGACGCTGCAGCCCGTTACAGGCAGGCTCGCTCGCTCTCGCTCGCTCGCTCGCTCTCGCTCTCGCTCTCGCTCTCTCTCTCTCTCTCTCTCTCGCTCTCGCTCTCTCTCGCTCTC